CCAACCCGTTCCCTGTTTCTCTTGCAGTTCTCGTTCCTCCTTGCTATAGTCGGAACGCAAAATAAAATAGTGCTCATTGTGAGCTTTGTTGGTTTCAGCCTGAACCACGATGCGCTTGACTTGGAGATCTAATCTCTAGCAAGGCTTTCATAATGTGAGTTGTTTGGCGAGAGATTTCTTGGTTCTCAAGCCTTTGATTGACTCGATCCTTTAGTTGATGGAAGTTAAATTGTAGCCCTGGCCTCATAAACAAACTTACAATGCGGAAAGAGGACCCGTAAAACAACAAAGGCAACGCAAAAGGAGGAAGTACGTTATAGATCAAAACGGTCTAAGCACAGGATCAAAGAAAATGGTGGGAATTCTTTTTCTTCGGGGGAGGAATTGAGGATAGCTGTGAGGGTATGGAGTCTGGTGGGGGTGGGGGATTCGCAGCGCTGTTGTTAGTATTAATCAGAGGCCATTCAAGAACAGTACCTAGCTCGAGTTCCCCTGGACAGCAGTGACGTTTTGTTTTGTTTTTGTAAAGTGTTTTTCGGCGCTCGCAACTGCATAAGGTCATATGAGCGCGCGGGACACACCTACTATTTTCAGTTGGTAGGATTTTTAAAATTTTGCCTGGGTGGCGGCCTAAGCCTACTCTTATCGATTTTAGACCACCGAGGGATCTTAAACGTGCGCAACTTGTACACGGGCCCTCCGAGATTTTTCGCCCTTGTCCGAGAAGGCTAGGTGTAGACCTTTCCTATCAGAAGATCAGGGGTGTGGCGGAAAGGCAGCAGTAAGAAGGAGTCAAGGAGTAGCAGTAGAAAGGCTGCAGAAAGAGTCAGGAGCCCAGAGGAGGGGGCAAAGGAGGTGAGGGGGTAGGGGGAAGAAAGAGGAGACGACAGCAGACGACAGAATATTGCTAGAGAGCAGGAAAGGAGGTGAAAGGAGACAATTTTAGAGAAGAAAATTTTTTGGTCGCTACCCGGATTCGAACCCGGGACCTTTGAATGAGAGGCCAACACCTTAATCTCTAGGCCACGAGAGACCCCTGTTAGTATTAATCAAAGGCCATTCAAGAACAAAACCTAGCTCGAGTTCCCCTGGACAGAGGTGAAGTTTCCAAACAGAAAGAGAAACATAGGCCACAGAAGAGGTATCGGTACTGAGCGGCCGATCAAACGTGTAATTACGCTACACACTGTGAAAAAAACCTCAACAAAAACAGGGCGTTTCGTGTTGGTTCATGGAAGATACAATTTATTCACTGTCCTAAGGAACCAAAATAGAATGCAACATTCACAGTGGGATGCAATTTGTACGCCATCCATACCCTCTGGGGCGTAGTAATCGCACAATTTATCTACGCTTACCCTGTCGGGCCATTTTCCGTGCCATCTGTCGACCGAAGGTCGTGTTGTAGCGAAACAAAATTAGCCTCCAAATCTCAATTTGAAAAATAATCCGTTTTTGCCCAGCGTAACACATTAAAAGCCTTCACTTCCACAATGATCTTTTCATCTATAGGACGTGGAACTCATACCCACACAAAAAACCACACCAAACAAACAAATAACTAACCACAAAACAAACAAAACAGAGTTATCCCCCCCCCCAAAAAAACAACGTCCTTTGAAACCTCTGATTATTGGTAGACTCTACATCTTCATTGCCTCTCAGGTGTGACTAACTGCCACCCCCCCCCCCCTATCTCCAACCTGCTAGATGATAGTTGTCGTGTCGATTATCTTTCCAATTCCCCCATCGCACCTGTTCAACCCGTTTAGTGTAGGATTAGAAGGAATTGCTGCTGTCCCAAATGGTAAAATACTTGATCAACCAGGTTTTGAATCATATCAGGGGATGTTTCTTAATGTTAGCTGTCTAAATAGTTTTACCGATGGCTCTCATAATCAAGTTATTTTGGGGATAGACGCAATTAAAAAAAAAATTAAAATACCACTTCTTGAAAAGATTAATTGACACTACTTTGAAAGAAACGCATGATACAAAAAGAACAAACGAAAATAAATCTGTTAAACAAGGTTTATCAAATATTTTACTTTAAAAGACGTCAAACTCCTTTGTTTTAGATATTTAAAAGTGCCCTCTAAATGGAGGCGGCGACAATTATATCATTACCTATTTGATACCATTCTTAGAGAGCGACGTGTCTTTGACTCAAGGCTCATTGGCTACGAATTTTTCAAAAGAATCTCTATAAATTGAGGAACGGAAAGTATAAAATAGTAATCCACCAGCTTTGGTGGCGGGACTGATAAATTAGTGCGTTGTTTATCGAGAGCACCTTTTAATCAGGGAGGGAACCGTCAAACAGTGTGCAGTCTGTACCTTCACACAGATTATAATCAGGTGTGAACCAGTCAAAATGAGGGTAATTATCCCCCCCCCTCTCTCTCTCTCTCTCTCTC